ATCTCCTGACTCCAAGCATTTTCACTGACTGTTCCCCATTCCCGGGATTCTCTCCCTCCTCAATCTCTGTCTCCTGGCTTCCTTTAAATCCCAGCTAAAATCCCACCTTCTATAGGAAGCCTTTCCCCACCCCGCTTAATTCTAGCCTCTTCCCCCTGTTGATTATTTCCATTTATCCTGAATATAGTTTATTTGTACATAGTTGTTCCTATGCTGTATCTCCCATTAGCTACGTGCTCCCTGACAACAGACTGCCTTTCACCTTTCTTTGTACACAGTCCCCCGCCTCTCCACCCCAGTTCTTAGCACAGTACCTAGCACATAGTGGCAGCTTAATAAATGTTTATTGATTGACTGGCTGACTACCATATAAATAGAAAGAACAAACAAAAAAGTGAAAATGACTTCTGTATAATTATAAAGACTAAGATTATCACCAAAGAAGCGATGAGAAAACCCAACTCTCTCTTCTTTGCTGAGGTGGCCAACCTGCAGAGGTGTGGAACAGTTCATATTGCCAAAATTGGTAATGTGCTGATTAGTTTTCCTAAACTGCTTTCCCCATCTTTCTTTTTTATTCATTACAAGGAATGGATCACTGGATAGGCAACGGAAAAATATATTTGGAAATAAAGGTAATGTAAAAACAGAATATATCATTAATTTTTTCATTTTAAAAATAAAATATGTTGATTCTTTAAAATAATGCTAGTTTAAGTCCATCCCAACTGAAATCTCTTCTGATTGAAGTACATTTTTTACTTAAATCCTTTTGTTTAGTGCTCAGCAGGTAGGGTAATCAGTAGCACTCTCTTCATAAGCTCTAATAATTTTTTTTTTACTCTAACAACCCCCATTCCTCCAACCTCTCTTCATAAGACCTATTCAGAAGAAATAACAAATCATTTTGTAAACCTGAAAGCACTATACAAAAATCAGCTATTATTATTCGTGTTTTAATTTAATTAAATAACCATTTTATGCACTCTCTAATTTCTCCATATCTTTTACATGCAAGAGTATAAGCACTATTATAGTGAAGGTCAGAGATTATTTCCTAATCTTTACACAATCATTCTCTTTTCACTATCAGTATCTTAGTGTGTTTGTTTGTTGGCCTTTCCCCCAGCAGTACTACACTGCTGACTGTAAAAAGATGGTCTATCTTGCACAGCATTTAAAGGACACAGCCCAGAAGGTTACTGGACCCAAATGAGTTTATCCCCTTAATTTAAAAAGTCAGTATATGTCAGTGTTATAATTCATATGATTCAATGATTAGAAAAAAACCCAATTAGTAATAAGCTGAAATAGCAGCCTTTTATTGTCAAACAACAGACAGTATATGCCAGGCACATTAAATTTCTGCCTCAGAAGAGACTGTAGTTTTAAACTTCAATATGGCATCCAAAATAATAGTAATAATTAAAAATAAACAGCATTTGAAATCTATGGAATTTGTCACCACGACTTTATGTGAATCATTAACTGTCTTCATGGAAGGATCAATCTTAAAAAAGTCTAAAACTTGAGAACATTAATAATAAACAGCAGCCATTAGTCATTTGTTGAGTAAATTATTGTGGCAAATTTAACTGAATCCATTAAACTAGACACAATCACACAGTGCAAGCATCAATTTAAAGTATTTGTTTTACAATCACTGCCTTTACATCATTAACTTTCTTTTGCTTCAGTTCTCTGATAATAGTATATCTTGCATAACAGAAAAGCAGAAAATAGTATATGTGTCTGTGTCTGTGTATTTTCTTATTTAAAAGATCATTAAATAAAATTTTGACTAAGCATAATGGCTTTTTCAAGGCATTTTACTAAAAGATCAAGAAGAGGATCTCCCAACACGATGTAGTCCAACGTTCTCCAGCACGCTCAAAGAAGACGCAGAAACCATATCTGAGCCTAACCTTTTAAGATACTGGAGAACATTCACTCATTTCATTTGGAGTTGCTCAACTATCCCTGCTGCTGAGATTAGAAATACTCATTTTGCAACCAAAATCATCTGTTCATCACCTAGGCCAGTTTACATATTACACTCAAGAACAGCAGTCCTCTACAAAAGGTTTTCTGAACAAATATATTAATTATCTTCTTGGCAGGGGTTCTCAACTTGAGGTCAGTGATTTTTTTTTTATACTTTGATAACTATTTATGTATAATTTGTTTCCTTTGTCATCTCATGTATTTTATTTTTTACACTGAAAAACATTATTCTGAGAATGGGTCCATAGGCTTCACCAGACCGCTAAAGGGGTTTCTCTCTCTCTCTCTCTCTCTCTCTCTCTCTCTCTCTCTCTCTCTCTC